TATGGTTGGCTGCAAGTTCATCTTTGTTGATGACGCAAGCAGCCAGAATGTCCTACTGATTGTGATAAAGATAACATTGATGGCCTTCTTTGTGGCTGGGCTTAAATTTACTCTAGAGAGCAGAGATGGAGGGAGAATAATGGAGGAAAGACACAAACAACATGGGTCATTATGTTTCAGGTACTTTTCTCCTTTCTGCAAGGTGAAGGTTGGTGGAGTATTGAATTTTTTTTTCAGCTTGAGTTTTAGAATAAATTAAACAGGTAATTTCTTTCAACCTAATTATCCAATTTATAAATTTCCATAATTGATTGTCTTCACAACAGCATAAAGAAATAGAAAAAGGGATAATATAAACAAGTAAAAGACACAGCATTGTAAAAAGATCATTACTCCTCATGATGTGTGTTTGGGGAGGGGGGCGGAGTAATTTGCAGATGACTGAGATGTTCTAGATCTCTATCCTGCATGTCGCCAAGACATTTGTCACCTAGCTGCCAGGTTCTTCGCAGTTTGCTGCCGCCACTCTGATGTTTGTCTCTATGATGTAAATTTCCCCTGGTAACTACCCGTGACCACTTGGCGCCTTGTTGCGATGCTCTAATCTCAGCGTCACCTTCACACCTTGCCCTTCCTATGTATGTTCTGTGCTGCCTTGGCTCCATAAGCGATACAAATTTGGTTTCGAAAGGATATCTTTGCAGGGACGACTTATGATACATTATTGATTTTTTGGTGTGATGTAGAGTAGCTTTTAGTGTCACAATAGGGCACAACAGTTTATTTTCTTGATTCTCAGGAAAGAACTATTAGCAAGCAGACATTATAAAAGCAGAGGGCAGAGAGGAAACTTGAATATGACTGTATGCAGTCTATACAACTGAATGCACCAATGGAAAAACCTGGTCCTCAAGCTTTGTTTTCACTTTGTTTTTCCTCCTAGACATATTTTTTTTTAATCTGAGAACTGGCAAATCAACCAATTTGATTGGTGTGGCCTTAGCGTCAGATTTACAAATTTGCAAAATTGCTTTTAAGTAATAAAGCTCCCATAATGACAGTCATTCCTTTACAGTTATTGAAATACTTGTTTGTAAGAAAGTTAAAGTTGACTGACCGTCATGCTAGTGATGAGGAATGTTGTCCTTCTAACAGTGGTAGGATTGGGTGTGGGTTGAAGTGATGTATGACCAGGTGCCTTGTGTACTCGAGTAGGAACCCTTCTAATCATGTCACACATCCCAGACACACGTGCAGAAATTTGCTCTACACTTGTAGCTGGCAGTTGTCTACATGGCTTGCATTTCCAACATTTTCTTACTCTATCAATATGGATATCATGGATCACATCTATGTGTTGATTAAGGCCTACTTCTTGAAAAGAAAGTGATTATTTCACCATGTGTGAGCTCTTTATAGAACACATTCAAAATGTGTGAATACATCGTAATTATCATCCAAGTGATTGTGAGAGAAAAATCTAACATATATGAAGTTTATTTTGGTCTCCATGGATGTAAACCATCAAGTCAAGTTTATTTGGCCAGCCATACCTTGGCTTGCACCTGCACAACATAATCACTGTTCTTCAAGTTATAAGACTTCCTCTCCATTCCTTGGGGCTTTGAGTGTCAATACTACTGATTAAAAGGAAAAAAACAAGAAAACTGTTGATAGGGTTGGAATGTGACCTTGTGCACATGTAGCAAATACCAGTGACGCTACGTGTAAGACTGTTTTGTACATTGAACTGAAGATTGTTAGCATTGCAAAATGTCAGCTATCTGGAATACTTACCAAGTGAAGGGGGAGGGGGGCTCCTGTAGATATTTCTTTCAAACTTTCAAAGGTGTATTGGCCCAGGTTGCCTATTAGTACATGTAACATAACATAACTTAATATGATATATCCAGATTTCATTGATGTTGTGCAGTAAAAAAGGCAGTTGAACAAGTTATTCAATTTGCTTGGCCAAAGGATTGTATTATTCCTGACTTTGCATCAGAGCTCAACCTTGAAAAGAGTTTATATCAGATTAGGGAAGGAATCGGCTTCTTCTTAATTATTCTGCTAATTGAGTGACAGTGATTTAACTTGATGAAGGATTGATCCCAAGGTCTAGTTTGTTTTCAATTTCCCCTGAGTGCATAGATCCTTAGGGACTTAGAAAACCCTGAAGAACTGAAAGCTTGTTGATGATATCTAACATGTCAAGTATGATATTAACAATGTTAATTAAAATAATTATTCTACCTGTTTGCTAACATTTGGACAAGTGTTATTATAATGTATACAGGCTGGGAAGGTTGGGCAGTACTGCCTGTAACTTATCCCTCGAACATTGAACTTGAATCTGGACTTAAAATGTTTTGTACTTGACTTTGAGCTCAAATTTAATTTATAAAGGAACTGTACCATCCTATTTTGCGCAGTTTAAGTCATAGTCTGACTCTCTCAAATAACCAAGGACACATATAATGTCATTATACTGTTTGACAGAAACAGTATACATTATCCCTTGTAGCTTGTAGTAAGATATCACTGTATCTGAACCTAGATTTACTCTATCACCCATGACCTGTACTTAGCCTGTAGGAGCATGAATGTACAATAAAGTTCTTTCATTCATTATAATCAGGGTATTGTTTCCCTGCTTACAAATGCCGTAGGTCATGAATTTGAAAGGCGGTTGTTCCAGTTTTACCCCAGTGGCTGTAGAGTTTACATGAGGATGTTGACCCTTGAGCTAGGTTGGCATGTGATTTATAACCTTGCAGAGCACATTCAAGAAATGGTGTCTAGACTGTAACCTTGATGTACACGGATAGAAATAATCTCTCCAAAGGTTTGGACCCAGAAATAAAGTAAAAATATCCCTTTAGTGCCAGCCAGATTTATTTTAAAGTTCAACATTTAAATAGCGGTAAGTGCAGATCAGCTGTACTTTTGTCAGTGCACACTTTCTTTTTTTCATGGCCAAAATTCAACTTCCCTAACTGCTTATGCTATGGGTTGTCCTTCAATAGAAAACTGATTTTTCTAATTAGAAGATGGTTATTAATTTGAAGACAATACAGTATATACTGGGATACTGGTTCTAGTATGTGCTAATCTATATAATCGACAATACCCCATAAGTGTGTATGCTTTCCCTTTTGTTCTATTGCAACCACTCCCCTGCTAGGAAAAGCATTAATCCACTGTTACCTTTTTTGTTAAGATAACCACCGTGAGGCATTCTTCTTAACTTGTCATGGTCCACTTTCTATTGCAAGCATTTTCAAATTAAGTAGTACTTAATTGCATTTAATTAGGGGTGTAGGCTTTGGTTCACCTTGTCACCCAGGAACTGAACAAATAGGTTCTTTGTTTCAGGTAAGTCCGGGATACGGATCACCTGTAAGAAAGATAGCAAGGCTGCTCAGGTGTTGTATTAGTGCGTCAGAGCGGAACTGAGTCGTGTAATGAGGGGCAGTTCTGATAAGTGGAAGTAGTTACTGTAGAAGGAGAAATTTTTGTAGTAGTTTTATCTTCACTATTTTCACCATGCCCTCTTGCCACAAAATTGTAACTCGGTGAATATGTGTTTGATAGTTCTTTTGTACCAGAGAATTGGTTCAACTGCGAACTTGGAACACCCCTAAGGCCTCATCTTCCCTTCTACTGCAAAATATAACCACTGCAAAGGTAAATGGATTACAGTAAGTACTTAGGTAGGGAGGGCAGTGTAGAATATTTGTTATAAAACTGTTCATTGTGTAATATGAAGGAAAATTGGTCGGCCAGATCTAAGAGACTGAAGAATATGAGAAAGATGATTGGATTTTGTTAAAATTAGAAGTTTTCATCTAGTCTGCATATTGCCAGCTGTGTCAAGATTAGAAGTACCGTAAGAACACTGGTCATCATTCCATGCTACAGACAACAAAAGTACACAAATAATCATCTCCCAGTCTCCGCTTGTCAACACCTTAAACTGGGTTGTTTACGCTTTACCCACACAGCTCTTCTCCACCATAGAGTGAGGTGTTGAACTTTATAAGTCAACAACGATTAACGGTTATCAACTTGATATGATTTATATTCATGCCAGGCCGGTACATGTACAGTACATTGCTTACACCTTCCTTTGAGTGAACCTACATACACAGAAAGCCATTAGTAATGTCAGCCCTGTGGACTAGACCAGTATGGGTCAGTTGTGCTGACTGTAGGATAGCATTCCACTCCTATCTACCCTCTTAATCAAGTACAAGAAGTGCATGTTAATCAGGGTCCTTCCAAACAGTTCCTGTACACTTCCAACAAAAAATTGTGTTGACTGTACATAACGTTACAGCAAGCTTAATAACTGTTGCTGTGCATTGGAGCACAGAAAGCTTTTGTACCACTCCCTAGCATGATTTTATCGGCATGTAGCAGTGATATAGTCAGCAGATCAAATCCTTTGTGTCCAGGTATTAAGGTATCTACCTGGCATGTTTGTATAGCCCTTATCAAAACCCTACAGCTGTGAAACTCTGCCAGATGAAGGCAGTGGGTGCTTAACATCTTGGAAAGACATCATTGAGCTGACTAGTGACATGTCTGGCAAAACAGTTTATGTCATCCTGGGCTTGAAATACTTTTTTCTGCATACCAGAACTGGTGACATTAAAAATTTTACCTGCACCGCTCAGAATTCAAGAAATATGGATCATACATACTGTTTAAAAAATGTTGCTATTATTTTTTCTATACCTCATTAACGGCAACAGTCAATGAAAATCCACAAACATGGACATGTATATATAAACCCAGTACATGGACCAGTGCGTGTTAGGTGCAGGTAGATTACTAGTATTATGATGGTATAATGATATATTCAAATGTAAAATACATATAAAGCAAATGTGTAGGAAGATTATATGTACAGATGTTTTACCTATCCTCACCAACAATATGTGAAGACAGAGATTGAGTTCAAAGTCTTATGTCTCTTTTTTTCTCTGCCCTTCCAGCCGCTGCAGAGGGGAGAGGACAGACGGGAGAAGAATTTTTTCAAAAGGTTAGTACATGTACATATCATGATTCAACAGTCTTGATGCAAAGAAATGTTTCTTCCCTTCCTGAAGCATGGAAAACACCACCCTATGCTAGAGTCTGCACGTAGCCAAGACAGGATGGTGGTGCTTTTACTACAGCTCTGTGCCACCTGCTTTTGTATACTTTTGTATTTTTTTTTAGGTAGAAGTTATCTTCCCAATTTTCCTGCTCTGATGTTTGCCATCATCCATGACAACAGAAGGAAGATGGTTATTACCACTTGTACTTCTAAGTTCTAGCAGTTCTAGCAGCTGTGGTTTTCAGTGAGAGAGAAGTGGACCAAGAGTTGGAACAACAAGTCCTGTCCAGTTCATGGTCCACCAAACTCAGACTATACAGTCCTGACATTGCCATCAGCACATCTTACCCATCCACCATGTCTTTGTAGTGTCCTGGGGGAATAACCTGTGTACATGTCTGTCCTGTAGCTGTTTCTATATAGCCGCCCTTTAGCATGACATACCAGCTTTCCCGGCACATGGCACAGCAGCAGCTAGTACCTGTATATTATACTGTTTGACCTGTTACACCTAACCCTTGAATATATCTAACTGTAAGCATGTGTAAAGCTATCTAGTGATGATTCCCCAAGCTACTGCACTTGGTGATAGTGAGTTCCATAGCCTGGATGCTATACCCATAGCACACTGGACAAAAAGTATCTCAGTGACCATGAGATACTTTGTGTCCAGCGTGCTATGGGTCTGGCATCCAGGCTATGAGTTCCAATCTTCGGTAGTTCTGAAGTTTTTGAACACCTCAGTCCTTGGTTGATAACTCTGGTACTTGAATGCATGTATTTCTTCTTGTGTTCCCCCTTATCCTTACACTAACTTACCTGTACCCTTACTCTGCCATCATAGTTTTAGAACCCCCACAGGTAACAATGATTGAAAATACGCATCGCCAGACCACTTCAATGAGCTTTTGTACAACTTGTGTGTTTATTCATGTCTGCCCTGTGTGGGTCCTTTGTTAGTACAAAAATCTATGTAGAAGGTCAATGGTTTTTACTTTTTTTAAACCCTGGTAACAAGAAATACTGTGTTGGGGTTTATTTTGTGCTGGGGAGACAAGTTGATGCTGTATTGATAGTAGGTAGGTTGACTTGTTGGCTAGGAGTCCTGTATATAAAGTAACTACTTATCACCAGTACACATGTGGATGTCATCACCAATGTTTAAGAACAGCAGTAGGATTGCCAATGTTTTGTAGAGGTGTAAAGGTGACTATCGCTTACCACAATTTATGTCAATTTACAAAGGGCAGTTGGCACGGCAAGCAGCTAGACATACTCCATATAACAGACATTGAACCAAACTATGGAGACAAACAATTTTTTGCACGTGTTGAATCTGTTTTCTGTTTTTCATCCTTCTTTTACAATGTTTGCCTTGTAGTTTCTCTGTTAAATCTATTTACTCATTACAAAAATGGTGAGACATTACTGGACAACTAGCTGCTGACAACAAGTTTATAAAAGTTTATAAAGTTTCGATTCTCTGTAGAGAAACAAATTCAAGTGGTTGGGAAGATAGTAGATCCAGTCAACTGTATAAGAGCAATTGCTCCTCATCGTGAAATGTAAGATGAAGCCCTGTGTGGTCCAAGTATTGTCTTGAAGAACTTGGCATGCTGACATCTTCATCCAAGGAACTTCCTGCATTTAAAGGAAAAATGTTTGTTTTGTGACATGGATATGGTATGGTGAGGTTTGTGGTGCTCCCTGTGTGAAATGTGAGGAGACTGGCTGGGAGGCCCCCTTCTGTACTTCCTTTCAGCCCTCTTGACACCATTCTGCACATCTTCTTCAAATAAACAGCAGCAATTTGCCAAGCAGCTTCTTACATAAATCAGGTAGCCATGACAGTAAGAATCTTGAAGTAGAACCACATGGGAAAAATTCACAGACAGTTAACTTGTCTTTCTGTATGCATATGCTATGGTCACTTACCCTTCTACAGATAATGACTTACGGTAAGGGCAAAATGTATATTAATTTCTACTGTAGTGCACATCCACAATCTGGTGCACAGTGTTTATTGAGATGGATTTGACAAGCCTTTTGAGAAGTGAAATTTCATGCACCAACTTGAACTTGACTTCAAATTGAAAGACATTATTTGAAAGCACAGAAGGATTTGACATTGACATTTAGATATACAATATAATACAAAGGTGAACAGCTGATAGTGAGGTACTCTCCAGGACTCCTATGTGTGATTTGACACTGTTAACCGAATCCTTCCAAGCCTGATGTTCAATATAATCATTGGCATTGACAGGAGAATACAAGAACATACAGGTGCAGTATTATCTGTTTGCTCAAAAGCCTTAAGGTGAAAAGATGACATTTACTTTGACATTTGAATCGTGTAGAAGTTCAGTCGTACTGTTCACAAAAACAGAACATCCTTGCTAGAACTGAAATGGCCAGTCACAACCAGCTGCCCTCCTTGAGGGATGTCACACCTGTCATAAACACAGTTTTGCTCAAGCTACTGTAAATGGTTTTATTTCATGGCAGAGAAATAATATAGTTTTTTTTCGATGTAAGTTTGTGGTTGAAACAGTACATAAGTATTACATGTATGTAACACATATTCATGGAGTTATGAATTTGCGTTAAGTGGTCAACAGCAAAACCAGGAAAATAAAAGCGCTGCAAAAGTTTCTGCATTTACAGTATTCTGTCATATGTACACCATGAACTGTACTGTTTAAAATGTTCAGTTGTCAAAGTTGTACACTCTCACCTAGAACATGAAGGAATATGCATGCATGTGTATGTATATACATGTAGTACTAGCCCATCACACACCCATATTGCTAAATTATTGAGAAAACATCCTGACTTAACTGGAATATGAAATGTTCTATGAGTATTACCACCTGGCCAGATGAGGCTACCACTGCTTCCTTCTCTTGTTTGTGGACAAAACACAGCAATTATTTTGACAAACTTTGGCCTGAATGGAACCATAAACTGCAAGTGGCCAGTCTGGGGTTTTGATTGACTGCCTGTGTAATGTTCATTTTGTCAGGCAGTCTAGAGTTGTTTATGTGCCCCCCCTCCCCCTTACATGTGTATTGAAAATTCATTTTTGCTGAGGTTTTATTTTGTGGCAGGGGGAAATGGAGGTTTCTGCAGTGTTTTAACCTTCTCCCTGCTACCTAACCATGTAGCAAATACAAATTTGATGCCAAATTGCCACCTTAGCAGGGAGAAGGTTACTAGATGATGATATACAGCCTACTATTCTAATAAGTAGAAGACATGTCACCTTGGTTAGTAGATTTATATTCTTTGCTTTCTTCATGTAATTGGTTTTTCATTCAGGGGTACCATATAATTTCTTTGAGTTTGATTCTTTTTTCAAATTGATAATTTATGATAAAGGTATTTTTATGACCACATCTCTAAGTGCCAGCAAATCAATTAACTTGACCGCCTGAGGCAGTACATAGTTGTGAGAATGTTTTTGTGTCCCAGCAACGCTACAAGAATATCTAATCAAATTTCTTTTTGCCCGTGGGCATCATCTATGTATCTAGGCAGGTACTGATCATAAAATGATTAGATTAAGGGTCACAAAATAGCAGCAACTGGCAAATGCTGGCTAGAAAAGACACTGGAAATTTTGGAAAACGTGATTTGATCTTTAAGTCCTGCTACATGCACAGGTATCTTATAACCTAAAGTTTATTCCCAAATTTGCATATCATCATTGTTATGTGAATTATTTGAAGTATCACATTAATAACCTTCTCCCTGTAACCTATACAAATTTCATGCCAAAACTGGCAAAAGCTACTTTTTTGTAAATTGTACTTCAGCAGAGAGGAGATTACAGTAGAAATACGTGGGTATGTTTTTAACTTTGGTCATCATGTCAGTTACACATTTCCTGCTGTGCAGTAGTAAAAGTGACGCACATGCCGCCCTCCTTCATTATGGTGGGAAATGTCAGATACGGACTGTGACTCGACTGTTTACAGACTCGTGTCAACAACACAAAAGCTGCCAGTCTCTCCATCACAAGGATTAAAGACACAAAATCAATGGAGGAAATGCCACCGGTGGCTGGAGAGCTTTCTGAAGTCCTGACCAACAGGAAATGATGTCGTCACGCTCTTGTTGAGGGAGGGAAAGATTGGCTAAACTTAGGGAACACGACAATTAGGCCATGTTGATTTGATTATATGGATGACATCCTCTGGGAACCCCAAAACTGATGCGCGCGTGCGAATAAAAAAAAGTTTTGCAAAAAAAAAAAGTTGCTTTCACTATGAAATCTACGTGGTCATGAAGGTTGAACAAATGGCACAGAATATGTTGTGGCGAATAATCTACTCTTCGAATTCTATTTCTTACTATTTTTGTCTTTTTCCTTTGATTTTGGCATTCTACGACATTGGTATCGTTTCTAAATGTTTTCCTTGCAACTTATGGTATATTTTTGCTCATTTAATTAGCAACTGTTTTGCACGATTTACAGTATGTTTTTTTTTTGGAAACGGCCGAAAATTCATGCGCGCGCGGATGTCATCCATATAATCAAATCAACATGGCCTTACGTATTGAGTCTGTATTGTGTACAACACAATGGTTGGACAGGGAGTCCATGCAATGGATTTGCCTAAAGTAATTATGTGTTATTTCTGAGAAGATGAACAAGAAAAGGGTGATTTGAGGAACTCCCATGGTATTAAGTGGACCAGTCGTGTTCTAAGGCTTAAATACTCATGTATTGAAAAGTCGGCAGTTCTGAGAGCATTTTTAAATGCCAGTTGAGAATCCAGTGACTCACTGTCCTTTCAGTTTCTTCTTCTGAATTCAACTTGAACCGACTTTTAAACCACACGTACTTCCATCGGAAGTGTTACTGTCAAAGTGTTGCTATGGCAAAAGATATTCAAGATTGAAAATGTTATTTCTTTATTCCTTTAACCTTCAACTGTTAGTGATGTTACAGCCGTTGAATACATGAAAGATTTTCTCATCTTCTCAGAAGAAGGGTAGGAAGTAATTTTCCTGGAAATGTGATAGCGGTGATAATGAGGGTCTGCATGGGGGATTCTAGCATCGTAAATTTAGCAGGACCGGCAATAAATTCGGGGAGGCTGGCGATGCTTTTTACCTGGATGTCTAACCTTAACCGACGTCTAACAGTTGTTTGTGTGTAAGGTTTTGGGGAACGACTTCATTGGATTGTTCTTTTGTATTCATGAGGTCTACTGTTTTACGGTGGTGAAACTAGTCTGTGTGTACCTGATGCTCAGGTGTTCGACTGGCGAAGACTCTTTCAATAATGATGAAATTGGGTTTAACAAATGATGTGCTATATAGATTTAAAGTGACCATTTACACTTGACAAAGAATTTCCTGACAGCAATGAACATTGCTACAGTTAAGGCCACACCAATTTAATTTGTTGGTTCTCGGATTCGCCTCTTCGTTTTTTTCTGATTTGCAAAAAAAAAAAATTTGATTCTGGTCCTGAATCAACTGAAAAATGCTCATGTTTTGCCCCCCAACAGTTGAGGAAAGTCCTTTTCCTCCTAGTTGTTACAGTTTTCCCATCTATCATTGCAGTGGTTTGATTAAAAGTTCAAAATTCAATGTTTAAATTTTAACCCAGCCTTTTGTGTTGACTTCATGGCTCATTTTGTAGCATTTAAGCCTATAATAGGATGCCTAGACCTGTTTTTATTTTTTTTCGCCCTGTCGCTTCATATTTTTTCTGAAAAAATCCGAGAACCAACAAATTAAATTGGTGTGGCCTAACAGTGAATTAAAATGGTTTGCTTGGCTTTACTGTAAAGGGCATGCAGACCCTCTCTTCTCTCTGGAAGGTTCCATTCATCTATGTATTTCAGCCCATCTGGTAGCACCATCTGGATCAGACAGATGATCTCTATTTTCATGGTTCTCAATTGTCCTGATCTCCCCATTAACCCAGGAGACCCATCAAAAACCTCCTGTGCTCCAGGTTGCTGCCCAGTGTGTTGATCTGGGTGGTTGAAGGATGTCCTATCAACACCACTTGCCCATTTCAGTCACACATGTGTCTACCCTGATGGCCTCTCTTCTCACAATGAAGACTTCCAGATATCTCTCACAATGCTGGGAGTGTTCAAGTAGCTTTTATCATCACTGTAATTGTTCCTAGAACTACTTTATCACCATGACCTGTACTTAAAATCTACAATAAAGTGCTTCTTTTATTCATTATCATTATCAATATCAGTCTTCTTTATCAATTATATGGATATGTCCTTCTAACAAGTTCACCTGTTTCTTCTTTTCTCTCCTTTCCTCTTATTCTTTTTCTTACTAAATCTCTTGTTTCTCAAAACTTGAAAATTTGATTATCTGTATCGCAGTAGGATGGGTACCATCCTTATAACGTTTCCTAGTCCTAACTTATCGTTCTGTAGAGAAGTTAGTAATATGCCAGAAGTTAGCAACATCAGTTTTAGTTGGTTGAAGAGGAGACAGATGAGTGGTCCAAACTGGAAGGATGACTGTAGACTCTACTCTTATCCAATAGTAATAGCTTTATAATTATGGATGGGTCTTGGAATGCCACAGGTAGGGCTTGGATACCCCCCACTGTTTGTTTGTTTATTTGAGCCTTTGTTTATGTGGTGCTTCCTTCCCAGATGCAAATCTACTAAATTGGTATGTCATTACCTTTCTGGCATCCTTCCATGCACAGTATTGTACCTGGGCATAGAGTATTCCTTCAGAAGGCTTGTAACTTGGTACAAAGTAAGATATCATGTAGAAAATGTATACAGAGGAATTTGCTTAGGGCATCAAAAGAGTCTCAAATGTTGTAGTTATAACTTATAGACAGAGCTATGCCTTTCTAAAAAGGTTCGCTTCCCCTAAAAGTAGTAAAAAGCATTTTGGTACCACCTGCTGCTGGTACTAAAGATTAACTGGAGATTTTACTGGGTGGATCATTGATGGATTGCTTGTAACATAAAGAGAGCTAGTGTGGAGATAGAAAAATATGCTTTCCCCTCCACTAATTTTAATGAGGAAAGACAGAACCCAAATTGATTATCCTGAACCCCCCTGAGAAAACACTTGTCCCTTCCTTTACTACAGGTCTCCTTATCTTCTCATTAGCAAAGTCCCAATTATGTTCTCTTTGGTTCAAGGAGCACTCATTCAGCTAGAGCTGTGAAAACAACTTGAAGTCTTCTTTATCAGCAGGTTAATTTCCTGCTAGTGTCTGCAGTCTTCCCTTATGTGTCATGCTTGATTTGGTTTTTTAGCCATCACTATTTCAGGTAGCCCGAAATCCAGCCTTGTTAGCCATAGGTTTGCTTCCAAAAATTCGTTGTCGGGGGGAGTGAATTTTTTTGAGCAGACCTTTAGCTAACAAGATTGTTAGCTAAAGGTTATGGTTATAACCTCCTTGGTCTGCCAGAATAATTTGCCTATATTGGTAGCCTCAGTCCCTTGACTGGCTAACTCTTTAGGCAGATAATCACCCTAGTTGGACATTTCTGTCATGCTTCTAGCATCCTAAGGTGTCTGGTGGAGACTGTTATCAGCTTGGCCAGTACGGTAGTTGGTCAGTCTGGCTGATAGCCTGTGTGGATAGTATGGGTGGGTGGGGGGTCTCCTTGTGTTCCACCTGGTTCTAATTGGCCCCATTTCTAATCATTAGCTGCATAACAGCCATACCTTTGTGTTGGGGGGGGGGGTACGAGCACTGTTCATTCATGGATCCTTCCTAACTTCAAGGACATAGTAATGTCCTTGGTGATCAAGATTGTCAAAACCATTTTGAGTTCAAGATACAGGGTAGACTGACAAGTGTATGTTATCATAAAGCATGATGTGAAAATATATGAATCAACAAAATTGAAAACTGAAGGGACTCAACCTGGATAATATAAATTAATTGTGTCTACATTTCCATTCCAATATGTACTCAAACACATGGAGCGAGGTTGAAATGATCAAGAATGGATTGTATGCAGGATAGTACAACAATATGGCAGTAGTACAATAAGAAGCCCTTGTAACACAACCTAAATCTTCCATTACCATTTTCCCCATTACAGATACCTTTTATTTATCCCTTATTCTGGTGTGATTTACAAATGGTCGATCTTGACATTCATGATAAAAGTCGTTTTTCACAGGGAATGACTGGTGTCACCAACACTGTCCTTATTTCTGACAGCTGATGACCCAAGTGTCTGTTGTTGACCTTGTAGCTGTCATCCTCTTGTCACGGCCATGACTCTCTATTTGACCTTTAACCCGCAGTTCAATGATTCTACCATAAAGCCACACTGTTCTCATTAGATGACTTAGTGTCTGCTATAAGCTTTGTTTGTTGATCCAGTGGGTCAAAACTTCAAAGTTCCTCTGTCACTGTCAGTGAGTCTTTGCAAAGTCTTGACTGATGATGTTTGAATGGAGCATAGAAGGTACTGCATCTTCTTCTTGTAACATTCAACCACAATTCAGTGGAAAAGTGCACCCAAAATCACGGCTCTAGCATATCCAGAACATGAGATATGGAAACGAGAAGTTCGGCTGCAGTACCAAGAAAAGCTGCTAAGGGGTTCCAAAATCTAATTATTTCTTCAACAGATCAAAACTCACCTACAAAATTTTGTATCAATACAGGTACACAATAGCTTCTAGAGTCATTGTGCTAAACCACAGACAAACATACAATTTCCAAACATCCAAACAAATGCTACCAAAAACATGACCTTCTAGGTGAAGGTAACATCTCAGGCTACAAGGTGCCTACAGCTTGTGTGGTGGCAAGTTATTGTAGCAATGCTGTTCTTCCTGAGGTTTGACTTGGCACAGGAAAGGTGCTCATAGTTGAGATTTTCTCACGTTGCTTGGGTAAATAGCGCCAGGAATGTTATCAGAGATTTAGGAGTGCTTTTTGGTATTCCTAAATACCTTCCGTACACAAGATAACCTTTGCTGATCTGCAACACTTACAAGGGTTGAATCGACCTTCGTCTGCCAAGTAGCAATATATTAAAACAGTTTTATTGGATTCAGTGGAAGACAGAAGTCAAACAGTGTGTGCACTGTTGTAAATGTATTTCCTGACATCTTACGTACCGTACATGTGTATCACACACAAACACAGATACAGGAGCGCCGAGGCCTTAAAATGATGGTATCCCAAAATATGCAAACATATGTACCTAAAGCCTTTTTCAGACATTTGTGCTGTATGTGCACTATCTACATTTAGGGGCTATGTATGTTCCCCATAGTCATACATGAATGAAAGTTATTGAAGCTATACATTATCCATGGCAACTTTGAATTATTTGTTTATTTTATGCCTCAGAAATGTTTCTGACATACATGTGTAATGATTTTTTTGTCTTGTATTACAGATTATGGATGAGACGATCACACATATCACATGGCCTTCCAAGTTAAAAATAGGAGCAAAATCCAAGAAAGGTAAGTCGTTTTTGTCTAAGTCAACCACAGAACGCAAGATGTACACTCCATTCTTTTCTTTACTATATCTTGCTACAGTTACCTGTCTGCTATAAGGATGATCTTTATCACTGAAGTTTGACACAACAATGAGGTTAAGAATCAAATTTTTAACCTCCTTGGACACAGTCAGCAATATTTTCTGGACATTCTGTTTTTATCTTGTCTGTTTGAGAGAAGGCCATATACAGTCAAACCTGTAATAGCGGTCACCTTTGTATAGTGGTCACTCGGCCATAGCGGTCAGTTTTTGCCGGTCCCTTGAATTTTTCCCATTGACGTAAGCATTAAGAATCGTGTCTATAGCGGTCACTGTTCAACGCGGTCAGCGGTCACCCCATTCCGGTCCCGCCGGCATGTCAACACCGCCGATAGCGGTCGCGGCTGGCCGTAACCCGCTAAGCACCACGGCCGTAACACCACCCCACCTCGGGCTACGACCGTTGTGAGCCTTGTGATAATTTTCCGATCGCTACATTACTAAAATGTGAACTGAAAATTAGACTCCATATGTGTATGAAATAAAGGAAAACTGACTTTTGACACGAAGTTTCTGCGGTCGCGGGTGTCTTTGATATCTGCGTTTTCCCCAACACCAGTGCCGTGCGTGCCGCATGGAGCTTTCAATGGACTCGGCCGCTCGGCGAAGATTACGGCAAATTATCTTTACAAAAAAACTTAAGAATATCCATATTTGGTTTCTCGATTCCTTGAAATGCGTAGATATGTGCATAGCTTCCGTTTTTCATGGGCATAATTAAAGAAATTTGGCTCGAAAATGCGTTTCGTATTTTTCCAAGATGGCGCATGTTAGCTGCAGAGGGAGGTCAATTGGGGTCATCGGAAGACTCCACTGTTATGGAGGTAGATACACCAAGTTTTATTTAACTTAATTAGCGTCAAATGACGTAATTACATCATGAAAACATTTGAAATACATTACTACAATTAATGTTAGATGTAAATTTAACACTGTAGTGGATATTTTAGAAAAGATATAAGTCTGAAAGGAGAAAATTTTCTGTTGACTACCACATTGGCATAATGGTAGAGGCAGACAACCCACGCGGGGAGAAACCCAAGCCGTAAACAAAGGAGAGTTTTCGCTAAGTTTTCATGTTCAGAAACGACCAAAAACGGAAAGTATCTGGCAACTGACGAACAATTATTTTGCTGTTAACTAAATAGACAGCATCTTGGTACAAAATAACTTATTTACGTGGTTGGAATTCGCTGTGGCGTATGTCGGTCGCGCGAAGCAAGTGTTCACCAAAGAACAAAAACATGGCGATGTCGTTCTCTTCCACTTTTCGACTAACAACAACAACTACTAGTAACGTGGCGATTGCGGAGAAACGATGGCGAAAGCGGAAAGACGGACGCCAAACTTATTCCAAAAGGTTGAAGTGATTCGACTGGCAGAGAGAGTGAGAAGAAATCGTCGAAAGCTGAGCTTAGATTAAATGATTTTGCAGTCGATAGAAATTTGTTTGGAGTTGAAAGTTTGTTGCTTGATTTGCTTTCTTTTCTTTAGCCACATGTAGTACTAGTATGTACACAAGAACAGTAAATGACAACCAGTGATTTTGTATGTTTTAAATTATGTGAATGGTTTCATTGTCCCAGAATACTAGATTAACTGAATATGTTGAGTGTATGTATCTTTGATGTCAAGTTAATGTTTCCATGCAATATTTCTGTATTCTTTTTTTTCAAGCAAGTACAAAATAAAGTACAACTAAAGCAAAAGACAAAAAATTATTGAACTAACACATGTACATATAAAAGGGATTTACCTTGCAAGTGTATGTATTCATATGTTTCAGAATAAAGACATCACTGTTGGTACTCAAAGCATGTGTCCCGTTTTTTGGGGGGGGTCGGGTGTACGTAACTGGCTGTTTCTCTATAGTGGTCACCTGGCCATAGTGGTCAAATTTGGCCAGTCCCTTGAGTGACCACTATAGGCAGGTTTGACTGTATTTTGCAGTGATGTTTGTGCTATATTTCAGCCATGAGTGGGTTGCGTGCGTCAGCTATGAGTTTGATGATGCTTATATTCATACAGCTGTGAACACTTAAAATGATGAGATGTTTTTACCAAGCTTTATGAAGTGGAAGACACCGGGATGATAGAACACTCATGTCACAAGATGCAGTCTCTCTTGAGGTGTCAGCTGGGGACAAAATTAGGCTGGGGAGATCTTATTAACCTTTTTGACTTCCTTATATGACCTTTTTAAGAGGCTTTTTACATGAAATGCAAAGTACTTCTCAGAAACCAGCCACCTGCCTTCTTATTAATAGACATCAAGTTTTTGACAGTTATTTTATTGATAACCAAATAAGAGAAGCATGCTCTTTTAAGATGGTGTTAGTTACATAAACAGAGACTGCATCTTTATGGAACAGAGTCAAACAAAACAGGTCCATCTGAAGACCTAACCACAGTAGAGAAATGGAAACTGAAGTGGTCACCTGTCACGGTCATCAGGAATAGCCAAAGGTATCATGCATGGAGTAGTCAGGGGAGGAAGAATGAGGGATAGGAAGTAAGAAAAAATGGAAGATATCAGAGAATGGACCTGTCCAGCACAACATTATTTAACAAGCAAAACTGAGAATGGTGGAGAAAACTGGTTGTCAGATAATCTATGGTTGAATAGTTAGACAGAAAGGATAAGATGATGAGATAGTTAATCCATTTAAAAAATGAGGTGCCAACTTTAAAGTGACCAGCGTGTCATGTTAAACTCTGATGACACCCGGATTGTCCACAAATGTTACCAAACTTTTCATCAGCAAGCGAGTGTGACGGGCAGGTCAGAGAACGGGTGTTCAGGTGAAAATATTTATCCTGCTGGCCTCCCTACCTGTCTGGGGTTACAGCTCACTCCACTGTACTTTCTCATACAGGCGTGCAGGTGGGAAAAGATGCAATGAGAATCAGTCAACAGTGGGGCCATGGCACATTCCTCAGTGTCTATGGACTGACCTGTTTGTTACTAGGCCTTTCAGACTGATGGATACCACTACTTTCTTTTTCGTAAACAAATGGATTCACTAACATTTCTTGTTTTAATAAAATTAAATTACCTGCCCAACATGCTATTTTGCCAGTATTGTGAAGTTACCTGGAATGACAAACATTGAACATGTACAGTGCTTCAATCTGTTGGTGCCCACTTTTGTAAAGATCAGTGATCTTCACGAAGAAACATTAGTTGATGTTGCCAGCATCTGGATGCTGGAGCTGGACTCCATGGTGGTTTATAGCTGCTGGGTTGCAAAGCCCTGCTTCTGATTCTGAATGACTTTTCCGCTGCCTACTTTCATGCTGTAAAAAGGTTCATGTATTACCACGGATTTTTCCAGTAGTAAAGATTTTAGCTTGACTAAATCATGCTCCTAGCAACCTGCCTGACTTTCAACTTTTTAGCCCTACTAGTTAAAACCCCTGACAGGATGAGATTGTCAATGTAGGCTATAAATTAAAGATTTCAAATGAAGTTTTGTGCATCAAAATTATACTCAAATGTGGTAACAGAAAACAGCTTCAAGTTCTTTGGGCTGTTCTTTTGTTTCATTTTACCAATGAAACATTTTATCTGTCTTTGATATGAAACATTTTATCTGTCTTTGATATGAGATACAGAGACTTCTACAGAATACAGTGTATTTCTTGTTCGGCATGATCTTAATCTTATCAATATAATTTTCAACACTTCAAATCGTATCTTTCTTTCATGTTTGCCTACATGGCAAATATTCATGTAAAACTAATTCTGTCGTGCCTCTGACAAGTGAAATGAGCAGTATCAAAAGAGCAAGTTTACCCGAAGGCCATTTTTCCATTTTCCAAGAGTTGACTCAATTTTGACAGAGATTGGTTTACCCATTCATGTGAAAATGTCCTGCGGTGGGTATCTTCTTCCTCATCAAGTTTCTTCTTCATCTCCCCTTGAAGTGCACTGAATGCACTTCAAGGAGAGATGAAGAAGAAACTTGATAAGGAAGAAGATGATTGTGGGAAAATGAAATCACTTCCCCAGCAACAAATTCTTTTTTGAACAAACACTTCTTGATAAAGATAGACTTCACTTCTTGATTAAGATATTACTTGACAATGTTTAAAACAAAAAAGAGTGGTTGATCGATCTTGAGTTCTTGAAGAGTTTTTTTGTTCTGTGTCATGTTACAGGGGTCGAAATAGATTTTGGGGCCAACTTGCACTGGTGCAAATGAAAAGAAAAATACTTGCACCGGAAGAAAAATAGTTGCACCCTCCAAAAATACAGAAGTGATGGGAAACATCCGCTGGCAGCGACGTAGATAGTAACCTTCTGTTACTTACAAAAAATGAAGAAAAACTTCATGGATTCTGGTTTTGTTCCTTTCCACTCCAGTTCTTTATTAATTAATATTATTGGGTAATTCTACAGGTAGTAACAGTGGATAAAGCAAACTTGCACCATGGTACAAGCAGGCAAAAAATTAGTTGCACGACACCAAATTTACTTGCACCAAGTTGCACACAGAGGGTTATTTCGACCCCTGTGTTATTTTTTACACTTTCTCATACATGTCAAATCTTACCAACAAGCTGAAATAATCCATTTATCAAAATACAACTTTTAATGTCTTTAGGGACAAAAACAAACATTAAAAGATTTTCTTCATGTAAAAATGATGAGAGATGTGTTGGTAATGGTGTCTAGTTTTTGCTGACCAACATGTTTGAAATGTCTTCAAATAAACCGTCAGTCAACTTGGATGAAGCCTTGATATCAAAAAATGCTCCGCATCAAATTAAATGAAACACAAACATAGTTTATGCATAATTTGTTTCCTTTTCATTAGTTTACAGAGCTTTGTTGTATATGTATTATGGTACACCTTCTTGTTATATATGCTTAGTCATTTCATGCTGTACATATACATGTACATCGCTACAGGCCTTT